TTCCCTTCATGCTTTAAACAGGCTTAGGATAGTCATAATAAATAAAATTATAGAAAATTATATTTAAACGACGTGTAGGATGGAAACTCAAATAAAAAGTTCTGCACTCCTAGAATTAAATATATTAAATTAAACAATTAGTTGTAAATAAGATAGTTGAGCTAGGAAACCGATGTTAGGGTCATAGCGTCTAGCGCTGAGGGACATTTAAAAGCAGACTGGCCGGTAAAAACGAAGGCACCCGTACGGCAACGAAAGCAGTAGGAATAGTGCCGAGCATTGCCAACCTCAACAAATAGGAACATCACATACGCCGTTCAATAAACATATTCAAAACTGTTGAAAAATTGGAATCAAGTATTTACTATATATAACTATCAACAAATTTAACGAAACTATTAATATAATATTTTATTTATTTATTAATATTTAAAAAAGACGATTAACTATTTACAACTTAAATAGGCAATCACTTAAAATAACACTAACCATTCACAAAAATGTTTTCGAGGTGGACCATCGTCATTATTCAGTGCTTGCACACGTCCTGGCTAACTCTGAACTCGAGCTTACAAGCTTTGGTTAGCTGCAAAAGTTGTTCTCCGATTGGGTGCTACACGCACGTTAATTCTTTGCAAACGCGGTAGACTCACTTTCGTATAATCTTTGCGCACCACATAAACTTTCATTGCTTAAAATGTAACATCGTAACATTTCATAGTATTCATGGTTTGACTATTTTCGTTGCGAAATTAATCTAAGAAATTTTAAAAATAAGACACTGGTTTTTACACATTACGAAGGACGTCAAGGTCAAGCGAACACTGTCGGCTGGGGCAGGCCAGGTGAACGTACCTAGCAGTGTAACGGCTTACGGAAGGGAAAGGGCGGGGAGAGGCGCTTCTCTTTACTGAGTCAAAGCAGCTCTTAGATACCTAGATCTGGAAACGAGCGCGAGCGCAGAACTGGCCAAACACTACCGACTGCTTCCGAATTCAACACTCCCTTACGAATGTGTGCGTACGTAATAAAATAGTAGGCGCTACATATTTATGAATGACAATCAGTTAAAATAATGCATTTCCACACATTTTGAATATAAAAGATATAAAGGACAAATTGTTTGAGTTATTTTTTGTTGTTTTTTTTCCACCATTCGCTTATTAGGTAGTAATTCTGTACCTCTTCTCCTCCAAATTTGGCAGATTATGGTGAAATAACCCTGTATATAACAGCTCCACGATGGTCATAGGTAAGGTAGATCAAACAACTGAAAGTTAGGGAGAAGGAAATCGAAAGCGGGTTTTACGATGTGCACAACTCATGACCTATTATTATCCGACCTGAAACTTAAGAGACTACCAATGAAGACCTTCAACTCATTTGCATTACATATTCATTGCTATCTGCTAAAATCGGATAGTTAGTGTTAAGATACGGTCTTTCTAAAAAATCATTCTTTCCAGGCTGTGATATCGCTACTTTGTCCAGTAGCTCGCCCGGAGCCCTCACGACAGTTCTTTTCAAACCTTTGTGCAATAAATAAATTATGATTTATCTGGCTCGATGGACCAACACACATAAAGTTATAGCATATACCCGTATCGTGACGGGTAATAATAGCCACTACCTCATATCTTCCCGTGGGTGTCGTAAGAGGCACCAGAGGGAAACTGAGGAAGGATATGAGCAGCAGCATCTTTCTGATAACAGCAAAATAACAATAAATAAGTGCGGTTACCAACCCGCCAAGCGTGGCAACTATGGCAATATATCCCCCATGAATGAATAAAGTTACGAAGAGACGGCCCATAGTCCTGGCGGCCCCGCTATTCCTGACTACGGTGGCAACCATGGTAACGGCGGGGCAGATTACGAGGGCGGCACTGAAAATTTCGGAAACCAAGGAAATGACACAACATTACTATTTAAAAATGTATTTATTGCTTTTCGAAGTATTCTCCGCGAAATTTGACACATTTTTCCATACGATGAAACCAATCATTGAAGCAACCATTCCATTCGGAAGTTGGGGTCTCCAAAATGGCCGTTTTGTAGGCGTCCACAGCTTCTTCAGGTGATGAAAATCTCTGTCCACGCAATTTATTCTTTATTTTAGGGAAAGTATAGAAATCATTAGGGCTTAGGTCGGGGCTGTACGGCGGATGGTCTAATAATTCCATGTTTTCTTGCTCTAAAAACTCTTTTGTTCTGTGTGCGGTGTGAGAACTCGCATTGTCGTGACGGAGGATGATGCGGCGGTTGCAGTTCTCTTTACGGAGTTCAGAAACGACCTGTGGCAAACAAATGCTAGCATACCATTCTGCATTAACCGTTCTTTGTCCCTCAAGAGGAATAGTCGTAACATGGCCGGTTTTGGAGACAAACGTGGCCACCATTTTTTTTGCAACACTCCGTGAACGAACAATTTTGTTGGTTTTAACTCATTTTCAAACACCTAAACTGGTGACTGGTTTTATGTTTCGGGTTCGTACGCGTATATCCAGGATTCGTCACCTGATACGATGTTGTATACAGCATTTGAGGATCCTGCGTGGAATCTTTCGAGAGTTCTGACGTACCAAGTAACGCGAGCCGTTTTTTGCTCTTCACAGAGCGAATGCGGTATCCATCGGGAAAACAACTTTTTTACACCTAATTGTTCATGCAAGATTATTTGTATTTCACTCATGTCACTGTCTAAAGTTGCCTGAATTTCGCGGTATGTCACATGTCGATCTTCCTCAATCAGCTTGCGCACAGCATCAACGTTTTGTTGGGTGACTGCAGTTTTTGGACGACCTTGACGGGGATCATCACTGAGCTTGACACGTCCACGTTGAAATTCAGCAAACCAGCGATAAATTGTGGTTTTGGATGGGGCTCCATCACCATATGCAGAAATCATCCGGTCAACACACTGTTTTTGTGTTAAACCACTTCGAAAGTCATAATAAATAATCGCTCTTGAATTTTCTCGAGTCAATTCCATTTTCTCAACGATTAAACAAGTTTGATAAAACCTTGTGGCAAGGCCGAGAATATTTTTTTAAATAAATAAATGGTATTCGATTTTTAAAACCAAGGAGTTTTCAATTAAAAAGATTTTAATATGACAGGAACAGTGGAAATATTCTATTCCCGATACTTTTAGTGCAGCCCTCGTATGTTGATGGGCATAGATAAGTCTATGCCCTCAGAGTTAGCAACTCTACCCCTTTCGACATGGAGGACCGCACACTTATCTGTCCCCAGCTCCATTCTAATATCATCATCATCATTATCATCATTACAGCTCTTCACAAGTCCACTGCTGAACATAGGCCTCCCCCAAAGAATGCCACAAAGCACGGTCCTGAGCCACCTACATCCATCGACTTCCTGCATGTCTGCTGTTGAGGCTGCCACTCGAGAACCTTTCTTCCCCATCGGTTGTCGGTTCTTCGAGCTATATGGCCGGCCCCCTGCCACTTCAGCTTACTAATCCGTTGGGCTATGTCGGTTACTCTGGTTCTACTGCGGATATCCTCATTCCTAAGTTTATCACTCTCCGAGCATAGCCCTCTCCATAGCTCGCTGAGCGACCTTGAGCTTCCTCATACGGCCAGCAGTGAAGGACCACGTCTCAGTTCCGTAAGTCATCACTGGCAACACGCACTGGTTGAACAATCTAGTTTTAAGGTTTTGAGGTATGTCTGACAAGAAGATGTGTCGTAGCTTCCCGAACGCTGCCCAGCCGAGTTGAATCCGTCGATTGACCTCTCGGTCGAAGTTGGACTTACCTAGTCGGACTATTTGTCCCAGGTAAACTTACTCGTCAACAACTTCGAGCTTAGTGCTCCCAACAACTACCGGCATAGGTGTGACATGGACATTAAACATGATTTTTGTTTTGTCCATGTTCATCTTAAGACCTATCCGTTGGGAAACACTATTGAGGTCATTGAGCATAGTGCTTAGGTCCTCCAGCGATTCTGCCATAAGGACTATATCGTCGGCAAATCGAAGGTGAGTGATGTACACGCCATTGATGTTGATACCGTATCCCTTCCAGTCCAGAAGCTTGAAAACGTCTTCCAATGCAGCGGTGAAGAGTTTCGGGGATATGACATCACCCTGTCTTACACCTCTCTGCAATTGGATAGGTTTCGTACTCTGGTTCTGTACTCGGATAGCCATTGTAGCCCTACTGTACAAGCACTTGCAACACTTCGATATACCGACAGTCAACTTGGCACCGCTGAAGGGACTACAGCACCGCCCAAATTTCGACAGAATCAAAGGCTTTCTCATAGTCCACATACGCCAGACATAGTGGCAAATTGTACTCTTCGGACTACTGTACAATTTGCCGAATGGTATGTATGTGGTCTATGGTGCTAAAGCCCTTTCGGAAACCGGCTTGTTCGGGAGGCTGGAAGTCGTCAAGTCTGCGCGCGAGACGATTCGTAATGACTCTCGAAAACAGCACGTAGACGCGGCTCAGAAGGGAAATCGGTCTGTAGTTCTTCAAGAGAGCGTTGTCACCTTTTACCAGAACAAGACCACCGCACTTCTGCTCCACGCCTCCGGTGTAAAGTCACCATGGAGGACGGAATTAAAGAGCTTCTGAAGGACTTCAAGTACCGGTCTTCCACCCGCTTTCAGAAGCTCCGCTGTTCCATCCTCCTCCATTCTTGCCTGGGGCCTTACCGTTTTAAGGTGCTGGAGAGCCATTCTACTCTCGCTCAGACTGACGTCCGGGATATCTTCGGAATAGTGTCGGATGAGACTCGCTCTTGGATCGTTACTCACACTTGCGTGTGGCTCCAACGATGACGTGTACAGCTGCCCATAGAACCTCTCAATCTCACTCAAAATCTCAGGTGTCCCGGAAAAGATGCTGCCACATTCTGTCTTCAGCTTTGACAGTTGGCTCTTTCTGGCAGACAGATCTCTGGCAAAGACTTTGGAGCCTTGGTTTCGCTCGATCGCTTCTTCAATACGAGCTGTATTGAAGTTGCGTAAGTCCCGCCTCTGTCTGTCTGTTCAGATGCCTGTATGCTGTCAAGTCTGTTGAAGACTTGTAATTTTAGCAATTCTAATAGAATTGCTAAAATTACAAGTGATGTTTATCAATTCCAGAAGATGGGAGCGACTTGAGGCGAATAACTTGAGGTCATTCATATAGAAAAGGTGGGTTACTTTTGTACTTCTTTTCCTAAGCTAAAATCCCCTCCCGGAACCCTCCCGTAAGGTACTGAGAGGGTTCAGAGAGAGAGAGGCAGAACCAGATTGGACTCAAACAATCGCTCTGAAAGATATCCTTTCTTATCCTTATGTGGTCTCGAACTTTATAGTCAACCTTTTACAGCTCGAGGACCCTCTTCAGCCATGTATGAGGCACCGAGTCGAATGCCTTTTTGTAGTCTATCTAGGCGGCGGAAAGGTTTCAACAGTTGCGTTTGACCACCTTTCAAATGACCGCGTCAATGAGGAGTGGTTCCTTGGTTCCACCACCAACGCCCCGACATGAATTTTGAGCGCGCGTCATCACCTGATTTAAGTTCAGGTGACGAGTGATTCTCGCGCTCAAAATGGATGTTAGTGTCTTGTATATGATAGGTAGATTGTACTTGTATATGGGGCGGTATTTGCTCGGGTCTGTGGAATCCTGGTCTTTAGGAACCAAATGAGTGATCCCAGTAGTGAAGAGGCTCGGGAGTGACTTTTGGTCGAGAGCGTCTTGAAACTGTCGGGCGAGTACAGCGTGACACACCACAAACCCCTTCAGCCAGTAGTGATGCAGTCCGTCGAGTCCCGGACTTTTCCAGTTCGGGGCCCTACGGACCGCCTCAGCTAAGTCATCCGGCGTTATGATGACGGGGTCCATGGGCGTAACATTCGCACACTGACTCGCTACAACTCCGTCCAAGGGCCCTCGCTGTGGTTTACGGGCTCTGACCACAGGCCGCGCCAGAATGCGACAATGTCGGCTTGATTCGGTGCTGGGCCCGTTCCACGTACCATTGCCTCTTCTGATCACTATGGAAGAGACGATTCTGGTTGAACCGTGTCGACCTCTCGGTATATCGCCGAATCCGCTTCCCCTAAGCAGCGATTCTCTGCTTCAGGTCGTTTATGCGCTTCGTCAGTTTTTGCGTAATATCCGGCTGGGACAAACTTATATTTGCAACGCCATCCTTAGGGTGCGCACAATTCTCGGTCTATTATTACCCAACCTGAAGCTTGTCAGTCTGCCGATGAGGGTTCTTGCCTTTGCGATACGGTCCTCAATTCTTTTTCTCCAGGCTGGGATGGCTCTACTGTGTCTAGTAGCGCGTCGGGCCGTGGGAAGTTTGGCGCCAATAATACGGCAAACTGCCAGTGCGGCGCCAAAAAAAATTGAGTCCGTCTCGCAAAGGTCCCGGGCTGGCTTCCTAATAAGTCACCAGCATTGGGTTGAGAGCCCTCACGACAGCCCGATTCCACTTGCTTAAGGATATGCGGGGAAGTCGCGGTCGATTTTCGAGAGGCGTACTGCGCGTTTCCAAAATAGCCTCTTCCAATATGCTCCTCATTTGCTCTAGTTTGTGGGAGACTATTTCATCATCGTCTGAATCAACTACAACTGGAATATCCACGGCAGCATCCACGTGTGAAGGTTGCTCTGCAATTAGTGGCGTCGCATTGCCAGCTCAAGCATATTCACCCGATGAGAAAATAGCCTCACGTCGTAGTCGTTCGAGTTCGGCGTCACCAAATATGTTGGAGCGCAGGATATACCGAACTCGGTCTGCCAGGTTTTGCTCCGTTACATGAACAGATGAGACAGAGGCTCCAGCTCTGCAAAAAAGCGATGCATCTTAGCCCCATACGCTAACATTCCAGTTTATTCCCCTTTTGCCCTAAAATACGCTCGCAATGGGTTTGCGTTCATCCTTTGCGTCCAATGCATGCGACGTGTTCCACCAGCGGCGGGTGCCGCTTGCTGAGTCCGAGAAGACCCAGCCGACATCAAGCCCTCTGATGGGGATGATGGATGCGGGCGGCTATTAGGTGGTCTTGCAGCCCCCCGCGCTTGGTTGGCGACCCGCATGACGCGCCCTGGCGACCTCCAGGCAGCGGCCCTTTGCGCACTCTTCTTTATCCATCATCCATTGAATGGGCGTCAATTAACTAGAGACACCTAGGCCCGGCACCGTTTCTTGGTGCGGCCATAAGCACAGACGCACCTTTGCACCCTCAATTCTGCCGAGGCACGGCGCTCACACCTCTTGGAAAGACGCTGACTGACTGCGCTGACGTAGTAGTTTTGTCACTTAACTGTTACGTCAGCGGGCGGTGGGGTGGTCACTTCCCTACGCCTGTTATTACTAGCTGTTTTGCACGAGTGGATTTCATGGGTTTTAATTTTTATGTGTGGAACTATGATTCTTTTTCTAAAATTAAAGTAGCCTAAGTTACTCCTTATAATATTAGCTATCTGCCAGTGAAAGTCCTGTCTAAACCGGTCCAACCAATTCGGAGATTAGCCGGAACAAAGAGACAGAAAGACAAAACTTTGAAAAATTATTTTCTTTTTTTGTTATAAGTACAGTATATACTTTCATATGCATTTAGTAAAAAGCTGTTATTTTGACATAACAAACAGCCACTTTAAATTTATTTGTATAGATTATTATTAGACAAAAGAAACAAACAAAGGCTTAGATCTTAATGTTTGTCCATGTGCAATTTATGTATGTAAAACGCCTAAACGATACATAAGAAAATGCTAGTGTAGTAATAAATTTTAGAGCTGTAAATTTCAACTTCAAACAAGTCCTATTGCTGTGCATATAATATAAAGTAAAAAAAAAATAGCAAAATTTTATACACGTCCGTAGCTACTAGCGGCAGTAGCTACTTTGCAAAGATTTCTCATTTAAAAAAAAAACATCAGGTATACTATAAATTCGATTGTCACTTGCAAATCCATACACGAGTATAAAAAAAGCAGCAGTATTAATTTTTTTTTAAATTAAATTAATTCCTTTCTTACCGGACTGTGGCCAGCCTTGTTCGACAGTGACCAGATGGTGCGTTTTCGCGACGGACTGTGCAATCGTTTCGAAGTCTAGCGGCCGCAGTGATCTTAGATTTATTACTTCACACTCAATACCTGAAATATAGAAGAATATAAAAATATGTTATTTTATTTAGTATAGATCCATCTTGAAAAACAGTCAGATCAAACAGTAACATTTTGACTTAAGTATTCAAGTTCCTCAAGTGTAAGGGAGATAAAATTACTTTGCACAAACACAATGCATAACGAAGAAAGCTTTGAAAACTAATATAATAATGGTATACCTATTGAGCATAGCGAGTACAGGCGGCTGTCAAATTATGTATGCCAGTTAGGGTGTTCTTAAATAGGAACAATTTCAGCAGTGGACAGTAAGAACCTGATAAAGAAAAAATATGACTACAATTTCGTGCCACAAAATATAAACTTTGTATCTGGCTCGAAGGACCAAGACAAATATACAAAATCATTTTTGACGGCTCCGTGGCGCAGTGGCTTAGCAATGAGTTGTTGCGCTGGGGGCCGCGGGTTCGAATCCCGCACGGAACAAGTATTTGTATGGCCTACAAATAATTGTTCCGGGTCTGGATATTTGTCCTTGTGCAATTTGTGTTTGTAAACTGCCTCCACGATACAGGAGAAAATCCTAGTGTGGGGGTAACGTTTTTTTAAAATAAAAATTTGTAGCGGTATAAGAGGTTACTGTCCTGTCTTGTACCGTAAAAAGTTAAAAGTAAACCTACGTACTACTGCGGGGTGGAGGCCTCCTCTCATTTATTGGAGGTTTATTGCAGCTGTTTGTCCTCCACACTGCTTCAGTGAGTACTAACAGACTTCAGTTGCCTTTGAATATTTTTTCTTTGCTTCTCAGAAATACAGGTTTCCTTAGGATGTTACTCTTCAACGCTAAGCATGTGGTAAATCAGTAATTAAAATTGAAATTGATAATTTACTAATTTGATAATGAACTCCAGTCACTCCAGGCGATTGCTTAGTCTCTCAACTACCACAGTGTATCGTATTGTACCGAACTGTGTTTTACACAGGTCTTGTATTGTAACTATGATAAATTAGAAATTCAGTTGATAAAATAACTTATTTGGAAAAAGCATTACCATTTCCTGCAAGTTCATTGGCAGCCTGCAAAGCAGTATCTGTTGCTTTGCCCGCACACACTAAAGTGATGTGTTGACCTGGCCTCTCTATTTTAGCTTTTCCTGAAATTTTATAAAAAAAATATTAACACGTTTTTATTAACTTGCTTTATTCTATGTCTGTCTGTTTGGTAAAAACTTTGTATTCGATTTTAAACTAACTTCCCCGTGAGCTAAAGTCTACATCCTTTAAATATAGCTCGGAGGTATAAAACAGGGTGATGAATTATCTTATACCACCAACACACAGTGGCTACATTTCACTAGTTCAGTAATTATAAGGGTTGGTCGATAAACATTATGGTTTGGCGAAGCTGTCGTCACGCCACAAGCGAAACGCACCGAAGCCTAAATCACGCTATCAAAGTTACGAGGTACTGCAGTATATACATAGCTATGAGCTACCACACGAAACAATGGCCACTCTCCAGGCTGATAACCTTGCAAGGCGGGATTTCCCTTTTTCCTTCCACGGCCGAAATGACATTAGACAAGATTTGTTCTCTAGCAAAATTTAAAAAAGTAAAAAAAATTGCCTAATTTTTTCACTGTCCTTCGAATCACATAAAACATTTCGCTTGTTAAACTATTATGTTTATTTTGGAGACAGTGACCAATTCTAAATAATTCTAAATATTATTGTGAAACTATAATACTGATTATATGCATATCATTCACTTAAATCTACCATTAGTCATATTTAATAACATCATCAATTAACTTTTGCTTTTGCTCATTATCAATGTAGGTTGTCCAGAAAAAGAAATTGTTACATACCAATAGGGATCACAAAGTCATTAGATAAAGCCTCATCCGACATTGGGAACTGCACACCATACATAATTTCGTCCTCTAGAACCACTACTGGGTCTGGGTCTCTGATAGCTGCTTTAAGCAGACCTGGAAACAAAAAAATCTAATTACGTAAATTATTATAAAATATTTTTTAGTATTGTAACAGCAGGTGCACAGTTATCCCGGATTCTGCATTTACCAGTTTCATAGTAGCAATTACAATCCTGCAATGTAATATGAAATAATAATAATCATCATCATTACAGCCCTTCACAAGTCCACTGCTGAACATAGGCCTCCCCCAAGAAATGCCGCAATGCACGGTCCTGAGTCACCTGTATCCATTGACTTCCTGCATGTCTTACCAGGTCGTCACTCCATCTAGCTGGGGAGACGCACTATACTTTACTTGATTGTACGAGGCTGCCACTCGAGAACCTTTCTTTCCCATCAGTTGTTGGTTCTTCAATCTATATGGCCGGCTCATTGAACTATGTCGGTTACTCTGATTCTGCTGCGGATATCCTCATTTTAAAGTCTATCAAGCAGAGAAACTCTGAGCATAGCCCTATCCATAGCTCGCTGAGTGACCTTGAGTTTCCTTATAAGGCCAGCATTGAAGAACCACGTCTTAGATCCATAGGTCATCACTAGCAACACTCACTGAATTTATAATTTTAAGGTTTTGATGTATTCCTAATGAGAAGATGTGTTGTTGTCACCCGAACGCTGCCCGGCCCAGTTGAATCTGTCGACCTGTTGACCTTTCAGTAGAAGTTGGACTTACCTGGTTGGACTATATGTCCCAAGTAAACACACTCGTAAACAACTTCAAGCTTAGTGCTCCCAACAACTACCGGCATAGGTGTGACATGGACGTTACACATGACTTTTATCTTAAGACCTATCCTCCAGTGATTGACGGCTCTGTGGTGCAATGGCTTAGCAATGAGTATCTGCGTTGGGGGCCGCGGGTTCGAATCCCGCACGGAAGAAGTATTTGTATGGCCAACAAATAATTGTTCCGGGTCTGGATGCTTGTCTTTGTGCAATTTGCGTTTGTAAACTGCCTCCAAATTACAGGAGAAATGCTAGTGTGGGGAAACGTTTTATAAAATGAAAGAGAAAGAGAAAGAATGATTCTGCTATTAGGACTATATCGTCGGCAAATCGAAGGCGAGTAATGTACTCGCCATTGATGTTAATACCGCATCCTTTACAGTCCAGTAGCTTGGAAACGTCTTCCAATGCAGCGGTGAAGTTTCGGGGATATTACGTCACTCTGTCTTACACCTCTCTGCAGTTGGATAGGTTTCGTACTCTGGTTCTGTACTCGGATAGCCATCGTAGCCCTACTGTACAACCACTTCAGCACTGCGATATACCGACAGTCAACTTATCACTGCTGAAGGGACTGTAGCACCGCCCAAATTTCGACAGAATCAAAGGTTTTCTCATAGTCCACATACGCAAGACAAAGTGGCAGATTGTACTCTTCGGTCTTCTGTACAATTTACCAAAGGAAATATACTAATATAGACCACACTATGGTACTAAAGCCTTTTCGGAAACCGTTTCGTAATGACTCTAGAAACCAGCACGTAGACGCGACTCAGAAGGGATATCGGTCTGTAGTTCTTCAAGAGAGCGTTGTCGCCTTTCTTGAAGAACAAGACCACCGCACTTCTGGCTCCACGCCACCAGTGTAGTGCCACTATAGAGGACGGAATTAAAGAGCCTCTGAAGGACTTCAAGTACTGGTTTTCCACCCGCGTTCAGAAGCTTCGCTGTAATTCCATCTTCGACCAGGGCATTGCCATTTTTAAGGTCATTAAGAGCCATTCTAATCTCACCCAGACTTCGGAATATGAAATTTAAAAAAAACCTTATACTGTTTAATCTCTATAATGTATATGAAACAATTATGTTTCTGTGATTGTGGTATTTGTACGTGGTAGAGCATACTACAGCTATGTTCTGGTTTACACTCTTACAGAATACCATCGTGAAATAGCAGCTTATTGCTGTTGTGTTTTGTATGGTGAGTGCAGAGAAACGGCAATCCTTTTTAATGGTAATGAGGTATTCTATCTTAGTCCTCTAGGATGACATAGCATCTACATTTTGATTCTTAATTGAATATATATGTATGTAGCTATGGAAGAGCACATGCTCTCCTCTAACAATACTTACTGAACAAAATTCATTCACGACAGCCAATCAAAAGTTCACTGCTGAACAAACCCTCCAGTAGATTGCCTTATAGGGACCGAAGTTACCACGCCCTGCAGACGGGTTAGTAACCGCAGTTATGTATTATTTTTGGTGATATTATCAGGAAGATGCTACTGCCTATCTCCTGTTTAATTTCCCTCTGTCACCTCTTACGTCACCCATGAGATGAAATGGGGTAGATAGTTCTTTTATGCCGCCACTACACTGCCACTGCACAAAATAGGCTGTTTGATTCTATTACTTTGCTTGCGGCTATATTAGATTAATGTAAGATACCTTTAGCATCCTCCGATGAGTATGGCATGAGCACTTTAAGTCCTGGGCAGTGGCTGTACCAAGCACCGAAGCACTGTGAGTGTTGTGCCGCCACCCCGGATGCTGCACCATTGGGTCCGCGGAACACTATTGGCACTGGTACCGTACCAGCCGACATGTAGAATGTTTTGGCCGCTGAGTTTATCACCTGGCGAATAAATAAAGAGATGAACTTGCCTCATGCAATATCATACTCGTGCATAAGCATTTGTACTTAGTTTTTGTATTTAAATTTACTAGTAGTTTCTACCATAATTCATAAAACTTTTAAGTATCTTTAATATGCGAGCTGCATTGCACTTATGACTACACATTAAATACACAGATATCCCCTTTCTTTCCTTCGGTCCCTTTTTAATAGTCTCATCTCACAGACTTTTGAAAAATGAACATTTGAAATTCTTTGGCTTTGGCTCTACTCTGTGTGACTGTTTGACCACAGAATATTATGTATTTATTTTTTATTTTATTTTATAGGATAAGGGCACAGATTACTTAAGTTTACTAAACACTCACTCACATACAAAAGCGAAAATACCTACGCTATAATAGCCTACAAAATCTTAATAATAATATCTGCTGTTCGCAACGAGAAGAAAATGTACCATAAGCATGCGCTTAAAGAGTCGAGATTGTGTTGACCGCCGTGCGACTCACGTGCAAGCGCGTCATCGCACGAATGCGCTAGGGTTGTATATATCATGATTATTGTAATAAAACGAATCTTGCGAAATAACCATATTTTTATTTGTCAATCAAATACTTTTGGGTTTTATAAAATGATTTATACATTTTTTCCTTCTATGAATTCTCGGTTATTAAAACTTATCGTTGAAAATATCCTAAATCGCGTAAATAGTTTTAATAAACAATCATAAGGAAAACAGGAGCAAAGAGGCGGAAAATCAATGGTTTGTAAAATTTGTAACACGCTGCTGCCAGGCCGATTCATTATGGCGTTGTCCAAATTATTTAAGACTTATTATATAATTTGGGTGTCCAGTTTGTCACTCAATTTATAAATCACAGCATTGTTATGCTGTTGTTTCGATGTAATCTTATAGTTAAGAAAAAAAATCACAATTTTCATTTTTTTTTGACTCTCGACACCCATCCACTGCACAATAATTACGTGGTTATGGCATTTCGACGAGTAAGCGCGGAAACGTGCGCAGTGCAAGCGCTCAGGCGGGTGTGCGGTAGCCCTATGTCGGTTGTATCGTGGGCGATACGCAGACGGTAGGCATATAACGCAAGGATTTGAGCGAGTGACGGAGGCCTGATAAGGGTGACAAACGAGCACACAGTCCCCCTGATGGTAAGTGGTTGCTGTGGCCCAAAGACATCTACATATATCTTCGATTAAGAATCTAAATGCAGATGTGTTGTCAGCCGTGAAGACTAAGATTGAATGCCTCGTTTCCAGTAAAAAGGGTCTCCGGTTCTCTACACTCACCAAACGAAACAGCAGCGTTAAACTGCTATTTTACGCTTGTATTCTGTGAGAGCGTGGTCCTTCCCCGGTCGAGCAGACTCATTCGTTCTACAACCATGATATAGCTGTAGCATTGCTCTACCACGTATATAACAAATTATGTGTTAACAGTATGAACATGAACAAACGACAGACTATGTTTGACATTACCAGAGAGTCACTCAACTAGCGCCTACCTGAGTGAGCTCACCCTCGCCATCCCCGCTATTCTGCGAACTTTTTGACTGGTCTTGTCTGGTGAAATACTTAACCAGTTTAGTGCGTATGGCACGCCAGGCGTGCCATCGATTATTTTGTGTGTGGCGAATGACACGCGAGTCGTCTTTTTAAAAAATTTTTTTTTTTAAAAAAATCGTTATAACTCGTTCAAATTGCGTTTTTGGAAAATTTGTCCACAGCAAAATATTCATTATTTTGCAAGTTCATGCCTACAGCTTCGTTTCTGGATATTTTGAAAATTTGAAATTTTTAGTGGTTGACAACTTTGTGGCTTTTAAATCATGTTGTGGAAAATTAGTCTAATAAGTAACAAATAATAGCACTCATTGCAATCGCTCACAAACTAAAGTTATAAATAAATTTCTGGAAAACAAGTCTCCTGTTTAAAAGAAATAATGCATTTGTCTTATTGTTTAATTTTGCTTAAAATGGTTGAACTGCCGTCTTATTACTATCATATGGCCGAATAGACCTACGAAGTACCATGTGCTTTTGTGATATGGTATAAGGTTTATTTTTGCTTGAAACAGTTCAAAACCATTCATGGATAAAAAAAGTTCGCTAATAAATAGTCTATTGCTGTATAGCGCCGGCGTTTTTTTCTTTTTGAAAACTCTTGTTTTGCTATTTTTACAATTAGACATTTTCAAATCGACTTTAGTTTTACATTTGTATAACATTAAATAATATTTAACATTTGTAAATATTAATGAATCATAAACCTTATTTTTTTTCCAAATTAAGGTTCTTGATTGTTTGATATTTACAAATATTATTATTAGGTGAAAATTTAATTTAATAAAAACCAAGATTTTTCAGGGTGATTTAGCTGTACCTACTTATATGAATGATTTTTTTATAAAACAAAAAATAGCACAAAATCTCTGCATAAAAAAGTCACTTTTTCTCAATTTCAAAGAAAACACGTAGTTACCCACTAAAAACAAGTATCCTTCCGTTTGTAACTGATGTTTGATGTCAACTAAACTTAATTAGGTCTAAACAAGTGAAAAAAGCATAAAAAAGGTAATTATTTTTACACATGGCAGATGGCACAATAGGCGTGTCATCAACTTCGGTGGCCTTAACATATATTCCATGACGGCGCCAAAGCTAAAAGTTGTTGAAAATCGGTGCCACAATGAATCGGTTAAACTGTCTTTTAAGCATGACTCTTAAAGCAAATTCTCCATATAATGGTAGAAACCCATATTCAACAGTGGACTTTTATGGGCTGATGATGAAGTTTGGTCAATATATCTCACTAATGTGTCATGTCGGCATTTGGCAAGTTATTAAGTTACATATATGTTATTATTTTTCTCTTACATGATCTATAGCTTGCATGGAGAAATTAAATGTCATGAATTCACAGATTGGCCTGAGTCCAGCAAATGCAGCACCCACTGCAATACCAGCAAACCCAGCCTCCGTTATGGGGGTATCAATAACACGCTTATCTCCATATTTCTTCCATAGTCCTCTGTAAGAGACAGACATAAATATTAATAACGTAGATAATAGATAATTTTTACTTGAAACGAGACATTCCATCTAAGCCTTTGGGTACAATACACAACATTTTTGATTCTTAATTAAGGACAGATGTTTGGGCCATAGCATCCACTTAGCATCAAGTGGACTGTGGACTCGTTTGTCTCCCTTAGTCTATATAAAAAAAATATTATTACAGCATCACCATTATCATCATTACAGTAACACTGCAGTAAGCTTTTATCTTTACATATATACAACAGTTCTAAGTAAATCAAAATTTTACTTTATGTACTATTAGAAAAGTTTATTTAAATATTATCTTTCATCATGTCAGTTATCTACTGAGTAAATATTGTAGTTTTAAATAGATAAATACAGTTATGGCTACAAAACTGTTGATGCAATCCTTTCAAGTTATATCACAATTATAATTACTTGCAGTTGCTTAGTGGTTAAATTTCAACCATAATTCATAAAAAAATAAGTTTATATTAAGCATACTCTATTACACTTTTAACTCTCATATATATGAAATATGCTTTCTAATGTACAACATACAAACTATAAAACAAACATTTTGTTGCCTTGACATACACTCCACATACCATTAAAAAGGAACATTAAATCTCACACAAAATCCACAGCTCTTTCAATCTGTCAGTAATATTCTATTAGCTACATTTAAAAAAAAATTGTGACAATCTCCACTCTGTGCGACTGCTTGACCATAGACTTATGTGGTTGATAATTGACATTGGACATATGAACGTAAACACATCATATTTATTTATTTTTATAATTTGTTTATTTTTTTAAAAAACGTTACCACCACACTAGGTTTTTCTCCCGTATCGTGGAGGCAGTTTACAAACATAAATTGCATGAGGACAACCATCCAGAACCAGACCAATTATTATTATTATTAAATACAAGATGTAATTTTATAAATTATAAGAAAATCAGCTTGTAACATTAAGTTAATGAAATCTGTACAATCCATCTTGTACCTATATACTCTACTGTTCACAAGTAAATATTGTGATGAGTGATGTAGGATATTATTAATCATTATATTTGCTTTATCACTTTACTAGTAACCGTTAAATAATCGTGTTTGAGGTTAGCAGAGCTATTTAAAAACTGTCAACAATTTTTTTGGTTATGTAACAGATGGCACAGGTAAAAATCAAAATCGTGATATTAGACATTTTATAAAAAAAAACGAAGTTGTAACTCTTATAGTACAGTAATTTTAGCACTTGAAAGGTTAATTGTTTAGTTTATAACTTAAAAATCTTACCTGCTGACTTTATAGGCACCATCGTATTGAGCTACTTCTTCACCTAAAAGAAAAACTCTTTCATCTCGAGCCATTTCCTCATCTAATGCTTGATTTAATGCATCACGAACAGTCATAGGTTTTGAAGCCAAAGCTTTAGAAGTAGAAAAAGATCGTCTAGACAAGCGAGTCATCAGACCGAACACAACCGGTGTAGATTTCAACGCCATTTTCACTTTAACGTCGGTTTTAGGCACTATGAAACACGGAATCAATTTATTGAAATATTTTAAAGCTCTATAAAGAGCGTTTTTTAACTAATTTCGTTGAAAATGGAGTTAAAATCCTCGATGTAGTCTAATGAAGGATGAATGGAGGTCGTAATTTCATCTCGCTCACGTCAAAATCAAGACATGTCAAAAAGCAGAACAGAAGTGACGTCCAGTGTGACCAGATTAAATTTTATGAAAATACCGACACAGCTTAAAAATTACTGAAATATAACGACTTACACACAGGAAATATACCAATAAAAATGATGGCGAACGAATGAAATATACTGATTTTCATTAACATGTTTTATTCATTAATCATCATCAGTGGTAGAGCCACGCGGCAGCTTTTGCTGTTGCACGTATGGGCCTGCTCGAATCAAGGAGTATTTTAAGCTTAGCTTCTGCGTTTCATCTGTTGAATGCAGGTGGCCGAAGCCCTGATCCCCTCTCCCTCCCATCCACATGGTAGTGAAATTAAATTAAATACTTCTCCTGGTAACTAGCACCCCTGGTAATGGAGAATTCCTCGCTGAGCATGCACTACCTGCTGCACGGATACAGGCTGCCCTACGTACTCTGTGGGTGGGAGGGTACAATTCGGCTCAACACAAATACTGCTCAGAGCAAACAGAGCAACAAGACCAAGGTGACTATTCTACTTTATGGCTTTTTTTATAAGATAGGGTGACAAACAAGCACACAGTCCACCTGATGGTAAGTGGTTGCAGTGGCCTATAGACATCTACATTTTTATTCTCGTTTGCGAACCAAAATGCAGATGCGTTGTCACCCGTGAGGACTAAGACGGAATGCCTCCTTTCCAGTAAAAAGGGTTTCCGGTTCTCTACACTCACCATACGAAACACAGCAGTGTTAAGCTGCTATTCCCGAAAAAATTTCTGAAACACCTTGCTGATCGGAGCATCAAAGTCGTAGACTACAATATTGGGGGCGACTAAATCTAGTCCAGTTCAATCCCCAGAAGACACAAGTTTGCGCGTTTACGGCTAAAAAGTATCCCTTTGTCGTATCTACTTAGTTGCAAGACACTCCCCTTGCTGCCCCAGCTAGCATCGGAATCCTCGGCGTCGAGATATCAGTGCAGTTTCATGTTCACTTGGAAGAGAAGGCAAAATTGGCCCCTAAAAAGCTTGGCGTACACAGCAGAGTGGGATAGTATTATATGCCGACACAACGCTTGCAAATTTACAAGGCGCAAGTTCGGCCTCACATGGAGTACTTTTGTCATCTCTGGGCCGTTTTAGTCCTCACGGGGGACGCATCTATAACCACTTACCAATAGGTGGACTATGTGCTCGTTTGTCACCCTTACCTATAAAACAATATTCTAGCACTATCTGGACGCTTGGCGGTACACCACTGTTCGTTTTACTAGGAATTTTCTTCGTTGTAAACCTCTCTGTGGAATTGTTTACCAACGGCGATTTTTCCGGACCAATACGAGCTAGGAACCTTTAAGAGAACTTACTCTTTTCTAAAAGGCAGGCTACGCACCTGCGATTCCCCTGGCGTTGAAGTTATTCATGGGCGGCGGTAGTTACTTACCATCAGGTGAGCTGCTTGCTCGTTTGGCCCTTCTTCTATAAAAAAAATTAAAAAATTTGTAATTTAATATTCCTTTCGAAGGATTAAAATGAACATAATTATAAAATTGTAAAAAAAAATGATAAAATTACTTCAATTTGACAGTATATGATAGTCAATAAATGATAAACTTAATCAAAAAATTTACTGAAATTTCCACGTTTGGAAACTCGCGACATTCGACGGAATTTGATACACTCGACACGAGGTCCCACTTCCACATCCCCGCACGCTAGATCAAAGGTACGAAGTAGTGACGAAAGATCCCGCTTGTTCGTAAGCTCGAAGGACCAAAAATTATGTAGGGTTTAGTCTACACTTTTATTATTTAAAATGATAATTTATTATGATATTGATAATGATAGATAAAATGATAACACTGCTTGAGATGAATGCTTGAAGTGCACTGCTCTCCGAGTACAGGGCGTTAAAGTGTTGTGTTATTAAGACTGCTAAGTTAACAAATTAAATACATTTAGGTCATTGTGAAATATTTACGTTTCACCGTACATTCTTCATCTTTGACACTTTGTTTTGTTTTTAAAATGTATGATACAACATATTGAGAATATAATATAAGTATAACTTGATGGATAGTGTATGCTAATTACACACTATCTAGCAAGTTATGCTTACCTTTGACGGTCCTTTATATTTTTTGTTATGTTTGATTTATGTAACTTTCAGTATTTGCATGGTGTTTTATAGATGCTAATCTACTTTAGAGTTTCGCATATTTTGCAAAAGGGGTCGAACTTGTCATCTTCATAATGTGAAAATTCCTTAATTTGTTCCCACTTTGCCAAATACCTTTGCTGAATGAAGTAAAATAAAAACAGAAAATATGCGCCCTATTTATATCACGATGACAAAAACATACTATTTTGGACCAATTCCCCAATTATCGAAACAACAATCTCATAGATAAAGTCGAGTGTAGAACAGAAAGTTACAAAACCGTGTTAGACGATTCGATACTATATGTAATTTATACACAAAAGTGTTTTATGTACCTACTAATAGGTAACTATTCATACTACTGAAAACTTAAAATCCAGACCTTGTTTTGAAATAATAGATTATTCATTGTATAATTTAATAATCCTACAACTGTAGCTGCCTGTCATGTTCTATCTGTAACTTATTGATCTTTACTTCTAAATAAAATCTAGACTAAATCGGAGAACTTCCCTGAACATTACGTTCGCGAGGGCGTTCGCAAGAGAGAAGCTACTGTGTTACTATTGCGTCTTATTCAAAATATCCCAAAAATACTGACTTCCGGCAATATACCTATAAAATACTGATGTTCGGAAAAATCAATAAAATATACTGAAAAAGTATGAAAATATTGAATCTGATCACATTGGTGACTTTTTTTTTCATTTATTGTATATTTAGCTATGAGGCTATCTGCCAAAACGCATACGTACATGTGTAATATTAAACACTGTAAAACAATGTTAAAATATTTGTGTACAAAATATTTTTTTTTCTCAAAACCAGGCCCTAACAACTAATGTAAAACTATTTGGCATTAATAACAGTGCCATTGAATAAACAAAGTCTGATAAATCATGTAGATGGCGCTCTTACAGAATTATTTCATTTTGAGATTTGTTTTACTATATTTTTATCTTAAAGTTGCCAACTTATTTGAAAACCTCTAAAATAATATAATGTAATACATAGAGAAAATAACTGTTGCTTTTGCTTTTTTTCAGGAAGAATATCTTAAAGTGGGACAGACAAATGGCTACATTTAAAAAGTAAGTGTTCCAAACATAGACTTAGAATATACTGGCTTATAGACCGACATAGTGTGCAAGTAAGCAGAAAATGCCTTATGGCAAAAATGCAAGATAGAAAAGGATACCAAATCTCGTGACTCTGTAACCGATTTTGAATGACAGGTCGGCACAAGTCATAGATAAATATATATGTAGCAAGCTAGCACAAGTCGGTGAGTAAGAAATAAGCTCCAAGATATTTTGTAATTATTTTTTAGATTATAATAGTATTAATGTTTATAATTAATAGTTTTCCATGTTCATGGGAGTGCTACATGTTCCGTGAGTGACTGTGGTGTCAATAACAGGAATAATCCTGATGGTTGACGTGGTTACTGCTATGACGCGTCTATTTTGGGTTCAAATTTATGTTATAATATACTGTTTAAAATATAGAATATTTTCAATTATTTTATTAATTTTGATAATTTGCAAAGAAAAAATTCACGTTGTTGATAATTTGTTTGATTTTGATGAATTGATTTTTAAACAAAATATTTTACATGACGCTAGGGATTGACTCAACTATATCAACCAAAAACATTTAAGTAGGTAGTAGTAGTAACAGACCGGACATCAGTAGCAAAATTGTCGTCTGTAACTTATGTCCTATAGGATATATCTCCGATTTTTGTCATTTAGTCTTAGTGACATCGTCAAAAAGTCAAGACGCATTCGTTTCATATAATTAAAAAATATTATTAAAGAAAATATGCCCCGTTGTGCATTAAGATATTGTAAGTCACGATATGGAGCAAAAAATTTCGGTTTATTATCGTAAATATAACATATATTTACCGAATAATCTTTAAATTTTATTGTTTCTAGTAGATTGTTCTAGAACATTTATTTTTATTGTAATAAGCGCCCTCTGTTATCCAGTAAACGTCACAATTTTGTTACCAATTTTAAAGTTAGTGATTGACGACGTCTATCGATTGGGATTATCGATAAAAAATATACAGGCTGCTGATTTAAACCTTTACAATATTTGAGGAGGTAAAACAGTCAACGATACTGTACCCATACCAACAAAAATGAGTAGCATATACCAACTATGCTAAGTACCATACTTTATGTGGAGCAAGGGTGGGAATTTTTTTTAGGCATGCTGATGAGATTTTCTGTGTTGCTTATGAGCATGCTGAGGTTACTTACTGTGTAGCTGTTTAGTAATACAGCACGTCTTCTCTTTTACATACCAGGCTTCATTGTCTGGTGGTTTTCAAGGACAAAGCCATTATAGATCCTCGCTTACGGCGATAGGAGAGGGCAATAGATTTCTTACATTAAAAACAATTTGTACTGTTAAAGATATTAGATGCAAGAAGTTGTAGGTTAAGCCTGAGTTAGAAAATAAGGTAAAAACTTAAAGATAGATTTGAAGTGTATTTTTGTAATACATATATACATATAATTACGCCTCTTTCCCGTAGGGGTAGGCAGAGACCACTTCTTTCCACTTGCTACGATCCTTACATACTTGTTTCACTTCGTTCACTTTCATTATTCCCTTCTTACATGCTCTACGGTTTGAGGTACTCTTGACCTGGCCTTTTTTCAAGACGTCCCTGATTTGGTCTAGAAATGTCCGCCTAGGTCTACCCCTTCCAACACTTTCATTCATACTTGCCTTATACACTTTTTTCGTCAATCGTTCTTCATTCATTCTCTCGAAATGGCTAAACCAACTCAGCATACCTTTCTCAATTTTTTTTTGTCACTACATCTTCTTTCA